TCACAACATAACAGACAATAAAAATAAAACACGTGGCAAGAATTATCAAACTGTGAAACAGAGGCAATGAGTGAATGCATACACTTGGGGAAATGATACTGATAATGTGCTTAAAACAGGATGACCTTAATTCCTCAATTTGAGAAAAAGGCAAAGTGTCCACTCCATTTGGTGGTGGATGTTGCAGGGATTGTATACATAAAACTCTAACAGCACTGTAAATCATGATGCCTATGATGCCTGAATAATAATGGGAGGAGGGGAGCTAGTAACACTTAAAAGGGCAGCATCTATGAAGCTCAATTAAGTTCAGTAAAATTAGGTATACATATATATATTTCTCATTTTCTCATTAAAAGATATGTCTAGCTTGTTACAAGTTATGTATAATGACAGATAAAATCTCCATAGCCTTTTTCCTTTTAATATACATCTATTCTTAAGGATTTGGCTTTAACTAACTACTTAAATTTTGGTTTTGGGGGGGTTTATACCTGGTGATGCTCAGGAAACTTTGAATCACTTTGGGGATTCAAAGTGTGGTCTTCAGGTTGCAAGGCAAGTGCCTTAACCCCAGTACTTTCTATCTCTCTGGCCTGTTGGCCTCATTTTAAAGATACAAATTAATTTCTTTAGGTTGAATTTAGTGAACAGTCTGTTGATAAAAAATACCTGTGATGTGAGGACTACTTTTCCCATATGATCCAATCAGCCTTCACACAGATCCAAACAGAAATCACGTAATTTAAACAGGGAGTTTAATATGAACAATTATGTATGTGTGTGGGGGAGGGGGAAGGGAGTTATACTCAGTGATACTCATGGACATACTCATTGATTCAGGATCAAACCGGTTCAGCCATTCTGTATTTATGACTCCAAATATAAAGAGTTTTATAGCAATGATATAGAAAGGGAAGCCTGGAATGGGGTTCAGAACTTGCTGAAAAACATCAGTCATAGCACATTGGAGAGAGGGGAATTTGCTATTATATTCTAGACCAGAGTTGATCGATTATTAGTGGGTCATCAGGTAATACCCTCTCAGGTGCTGAGAAATCAATATTGCTAGGTAGTTATACAGAGGTTGTCTAAGCTACTTCTTCCAGAGGCTGTAGAGACCTCTCAATGCAGGAATCTGATGTACTTTTTTGTTCACTTTATCCAGAACAGTTATGGGCACCTGTAAAGCACAAAGGTCATGTAAACAGGTTATCAAAAGACCTGAAAATTCCTGAAGGAACCCTCATTGGAGTATACTTGACAGTGGATAGAGGGTTTTGAGAAAAAGTGACCTGGGTCAGGTCATCTCTAAGCTACTGTACAGTGAAAACTTATTGGTCTGTCTGTCTGCATTATCATTGTGTGTACTCCTCTAAGTTGAAAAGCAGGTTTGTAATTGACTGACCTGGACTGGAGCACCACTTGGCTGTGTTGACTGGAGATCCCAGCTATACCACTTGGGCCTGAGTAAAATATCTGAAAAAAAAAAAAAAAGGAAACGCATGGTGACTGTTGGAGTTCTTCCTGGCACAGCTCCCTGACCACCTAGGCTGCTAGGATTGAGCAGGAAAGCTCCCAAGACCCCGCCTTGATGGGGGCCCGCTGTTGCCAGGGAAACCAGCATTCCCGACAATTAGCATGGCTCAATGGACTTCTATTGCTTATGTCTGGGGCTAGAGATAGGGAGAGTGGACACCTGTAGTGTTTGTAAAGCTCATTATTCCACCTTTGCAATTGTTCATAGAAACCCTGTGACACCCTGTCCCATCTAGCTCACATAAACCATAGATTTCACCTTCCTCTTCTTCTATCCTCATCTGCACATGATGCATTTCCCGATATAACCATTGTTCTCCTCTAATAAACTTTGTCATATGACTAAGAGTCTATGGCCTGTGTGGGTGTCATATGCTGCACGGGCGAACCTTTGAGCATTCATTGCCCTAGGCGCCAGAAAACAGTCTCACATTCCCAGGTTTCAGTAGCTGCTGGCCGGCGACAGGTGATTACATTCTAAAGATGAATGTTCCCTTGGGACTGAGCAGTGGCCGGTACAGAATGAGGGGTGGAAGGGGGGTAAGTACACTATCAATTCTTACTATAAAGGGATAGATGGTAAATATTGTGGATTTTGTGTAAAAAGACACATAACTTTTGTCCACTCTGCCCATTTTCTACTAGTTGGAGACTTTTTTGATCCAAAGAACAATCAGATGAAGCAGAAGAGATTTGGTCGGGGTGAGGTGAGAGTGTGGTACAAGCATTCACTCTGCTTTAGTGACACACAAATTCTACGGTGCTTCTCTCCTTCCAGAGAGCCGAGTCAAGTCACGTCAATTTGGGCATTTGACAGAAGTGAGGTTACTCATCAAATGTGCAACTTCTGAATTAAGATTGCGGTTTCGATGCTGGCATTCGTCACTAGTGGACTCCTAATGTGGAGGCAGTAAGCGATACAGGCTATGGAAAGTAATGAAACATGGCCCCGGGTCAGGATTTGATGAGAAAGTAGGGTGAAACAGAGATGAGGACATTCAGTCTGCAGCTCACAGTGCCATCCCACTTGAAAACGGCACAAACCGAAGAGGAACAGGCAGAAGGGGGATTTGGCCCATGAATTACACTTTTTTAATTCCTGCTTTAGGAATCTGGAAGAGGGGAATTAATGAAGCCTGTTGGGTTTATGATATGCAAAAAATTCTCATTCTGATTTTTTTGTTTTTTTGGTGCACAATATACCTTAACACCTGTAAGTATAAATATTTAATTTTCACTGTCGTTTAATTATTTATAATTTATGTACAGTGACTGGGGCTGGAGCGATAGCACAGCAGTAGGGTATTTGCCTTACAAGCGGCCAACATGGCCAACCCGAGTTCGATTCCTCTGGCCCTCTCGGAGAGCCCGGCAAGCTACCGAGAGTATCTTGCCCGCACGGCAGAGCCTGGCAAGCTTCCCGTGACGTATTCGATATGCCAAACACAGTAACAAGTCTCATGATGGAGATGTTACTGGGCCCGCTCGAGCAAATCGATGAACAACGGGAGGACCGTGCCAGACCGTGCCGTACAGTGACTGATAAAAAGATCTTTAATAATAATTGGTTGCTCTTTCATAAATTAATCAAATGATGAGAAAAACCATGAAGGATTAAAATTTAAAATTATGTTTGATTTTTCTCAGGGAAAGGAGAAATTGGTGTTTTATGAATGGAAATCAATAATTTCCATTATTGAAATTTTGAAAAAAATTAAAGGGGGAGCACAATGTTGTCCAGAATATGAATTATGAATTCAGAATACAAATAATTCTTGTTGTTTGGTCATATTCTGTAGCATGGAAATTTATTTACATGATACTTAAGTTGATGGGTAGCAATTTTAATTAATGAATGCAGACATAATAGAATTTTAGGTACACAGAGATTAGTCTAGAAATATTTTCTCTATAATGTGTGCAATATCAAACTGGACATGGAGGTATAGGATATTTTCATTCTGTCTATAAGAGGAATTACACATACATGTCTAGTTGTAATATTTTCATTTTTATACAATCATTTCTCTACATATTTCTATATAAATATGCTGCAAGAGATAGAAAATGAAAATATTTTTATTTTCAGTTAAAATTAATGGAAACTTACAAAGACGTTGTCTCAGAAGACAAGAAGTCTTCACAGATGTTTTCCAGAACATCAATCCCTTAGTATCCTTTCTCTTTGGAGTAAATCTCCTTGCACACATTTTTCTTCTGACATCCTAAAGAAAACAATGCTTCAGGAAACAAAGACCTGATTTCATTAGGAAGAAAGCCAGTGAAAACCAACATCAAATCCCTAAGAGGAGATACAAACTCAGTTCCAACTGCACTTTTCCTTCAAATTTTTGGGGGGCTTTCCAAGTTATGCTCAGGAGGTCTGAAGTCCCACTGGGGCGTTTTTTTTTCTTTTTTGGTCACACCTGGCAATGCACAGGGGTTCCTCCTGGCTCTGCACTCAGGAATCACTCCTGGCGGTGCTCGGGGGACCATATGGGATGCTGGGAATTGAACCCGGGTCGGCCGCGTGCAAGGCAAAGGCCCTGCCCGCTGTGCTATAGCTCCAGCCCCCAAGAGGCCACATTTTCCAAGGGGCTTGAGTGACAAAGAAATTTAGTATTACTTTGAAAACAGGATTTACCTAGCCAGAGAAGGAAACAGGAAGACCAAGAAGAGGGACATGAGGCACAGTAGGAAGGCAAGAGCGATTCGGAGCTCTTGGGCGACTTCGAATCTGCGTTAGAATCCACTTGCATGAGGTCCCGCAACTTCCCCGCTGTGGGAGCTGTTATTTAGGGCGGGGGGAGGGCACCGTGATTCCGTCCCTCGTTCGGCGCTCGCAGAGCATCTACCACGGGAGGGTCCGCAACGAGCGGGACGTCGATGCTGTGAGGAGGCCGAGGCGCCTCGTCGGCTCTGCGAAGGCCTGACTTGGCTCGGCCGAAAGCAGCGTCTCTCCCCGCGGAGAAGTCGGCTAAAGCCCCGCCGAAAGCCCACTTGGGAAAGGCGCTGATACCACGGTCAAGGCCAGGGCCAGCATCAAGCTCAGGAGGCAAAGACCTGGGGCTGGCTGACCACGGGGCCCCTGCCGACGCACAGACCCTGGAGCGCAGCCTGCTGGGTGCAGGCCTGACAGTGCAGGGGGCGCGGGGCGGGGGCTGCAGCCAGCGGGATGGGGGGGTGGGGGGTGGGGGGGGCGCTTCCAATGAGGGGGTGGGGGTCCTGCCCATGGGTGGGGGGTGGGGGTGGGGGTGGGCTGCCGCCAACGGGGCGCGGGGTCCCGGGCACGGGCGGGGGGAGGGGTGCCGCCCAGGGGCGGGGGCCGCCGAGCGCCTTCTCGAACCTGGCGCGGTCCTCTGTGACGCGGCCGCGCCAGCCCGCCCGCGCCCGGCCTTCCCGGTCCGGCCCAGAGCCCGCGAGCCCGCAGCCTCGAGAGCAGCCGCAGCCCCGGGCGCGGGATGGGCGAGGCGGCGGGCGGCAGCGGCGGCGGCGGGTCGCAGGGCCCCGAGAGCGCCGGGAGCGCCGGGAGCGCCGAGAGCCCCGGGAGCGCCGAGAGCCCCGAGAGCCCCGAGAGCCCCGGCCCCGCGCGGGAGAGGCGGCGCCCCGGCCCCCCGCGCCCGGTGCTGCGCGTGTCGCAGCTGCTGCTGCGGGCGCTGGCGGCGCACCGGGGCCTGACGCTGGCGGCGCTGCGGCGCGCGCTGGGCCGGGCCGGCTACCGAGTGCGCAGGCGCAGCGGCAGCCCCGGCGGCGACGCGCGGCCCGACCCGCAGGGGGCGCTGCTGCGCGTGACCGGCGGCGGCGGCGGCGGCGCGGCCGGCTGCTTTCGCGTCTGGAAGGTGCCGCGGCCGCGCAGGCGGCAGCGCGGGGCGGCCGCGAAGGCGCGCGAGGCGCGGGGGTCGCCGCGGACCCGCAGCCGGGCCGCCCGGCCGCCGCCCACGCCGCCGAGGACGCCCCCCAGGGAGCCCGGCGGGGCGCGGAGCCGCCGCGCGCGGACGCGGCCGCCCCCGAGGACCCGCGGGGCGGCGCGCGCAGAGGAGCCCCGGGCGCGGGTCCGAGCGCCCCGGAGACCCGCGGAGGAGCCCCGGGCGCGGGCCCGAGAGCCCCGGAGACCCGCGGAGGGGCCGCGCGCGCGGGCCCGAGCGCCCCGGAGACCCGCGGAGGAGCAGCGGGCGCGGGTCCGAGAGCCCCGGAGGTCGGGAGGCGCCCGCCGAGAGGAGCCGCAGCAGCCCACCCGGGACCCCCCGAGGCCCGGCGGAGACCCCCGCGAGGAGCAGCAGCCGCAGCCGCAGCAGCCGCAGCCGCAACAGCCGCCGCAGGCCGGGACGCGCGGCCTCCGACCCACCCGCTCCAGGACGTCCGCGCGGTCCGGGTCCGAGCGCGCCGCGAAGCCGGGCAGGAGCCCCTAGGGCCGCCGCCCCCACCCCTCTCCCGCACGGCCGCGCCTCTGCGCCCCCTCGAGGGCGGCTCGCACCCCCAATGAAACGGGAGAAATGCTCGCCAGACTCCTCCTGTCTCTGTTTCCCCCCTCCTCGGCCAACCGAGGGGTGGGGGGCGCGCCCCGGGGTGCGGGGTGCGGAGTAGAACCCGCAAGGTGCCCGGCGGGAGAGTCTCAGGACCTTCGTTAGGAGGCTCAGCGCGTCTGTATTTTGAATTCAGGGCGAACGGAGTCAACAGCCCCTAAATAGTGGCCCCTCGGGGCTGCAGCGATGGCACAGCTCGAGGGCGTTTGCCTTGCACGCGGCCAACCCAGGTTTGATCCCCGGTATCCCATCTGGTCCCCCGAGCACCACCAGGAGTAATCCCTGTGCATCACCAGGTGTGACACACACACAAAAAAACTAGCCATCTGTGTGTTTTCCTAAGGGCAATGAGGTTCTCTCTTGCACTTGCATTGGGTGGTCTCCGTTTCCCCCACCCCTGGGGAGGCCACGGGAGATGGGTAGGCAGAGGAAGGACCAGCTTCCCAGCCCGCTCTCACAGCCTAGTTTATATGGAAAGCATGTAGGGTGGGGATAGAAGGTGGGTTGAACATTAACATATCAACAAAGAGAGCCAAGACCTGGAGATGGACCCAAGGACAAAATCTCATCCTTGGAGATTACTCCACATTACTAGGGGATCTGCTCAAGGAGATCCCATCCAGGGTGTCGGTTTCTTCTTTCCTCAGCTAGTGATCCACTTGGTTGTAGTAAATCTATTTCTACTGTTTCTACCAATGTCACTCTGTATAAGCGCAGTAAGAGATATAAACTTAAAGTTGGGTTCTTTCTGAGGGCATATCACTATTTATTCTAGACCACAGCCCTCAGTCCAGGTTATTCTTCCTAACCTCAGCAGGGTCCTAATCTCGTTACTTTTGCATCATGACAGCATTTGCCCATGATCATGCCTTCAACTTATAGTTGAGTACCTTGGCGCTTTGGCCTGGCCCATATCAATGCCAGGGTAGCTCACAGCTTGCCCTGGGTCCATTCAGTCCCTCATCAGGACCCTGCTTTTGGGGTGCTAGAAACTAAGGGCAAATGAGTCGGGAAAGCAGATGCCCAGGAGTAAATATTCTGAGTCAATCAACTCCCAAGTTACAAAGCATAATAACTGTCCTGTGCCCATACAGAAAGGACATTGCTTTAAACTATGCAAAAGACGGAGAAAAGCAATATTTAACTTACAATACAAGTTCAGTGTCCTGAAAGGACACTGAATCTTACAAGTTAACAGATTCTGATTAGGGTAAGAAGTGATTAACTGGGGAGGAGAGCACAGGGAAGAGTTTACAGATAAACAGAGGAATGGGAGTGTCTCCAGAGCTCTTAAAGCCAAGCTTCCCGTGGCAAGGGAGAAAGGACAAACCATGTTATCCTAAAATGGACAAACCAATGTTATCCTAAAATGTTTAGAGCTATATTCCAACAGTAATCCCTCTGGCCCAAGGTTTCAACTAACTGAAACTTCTTTTAAAGAGAAAAATGCCCTCTTCTCCCCTTCTTAAAAAAAAATGGGTGTGTAGTGTTTACCGGCTTGATAAATAAGTGCTTTAAACCATCATCTAGTACAGACTTTGGCCCAGGGTAGGTGCTTATCACAGAGCTGAATACAAGTTATAATTTATGATGGCAGAAAAGATACTTGATGAGATTGGTAATGAGTTTAAGAATATGGTTAAAGTTCTGCCATTTTTAATAACTTAGCTAAGTTATTAACATCTGGTTTGAGATCCTTCTCTATAAAAAAGCTGGGGTTGGGCTATAATGATTTTAGGGATTTTTAGATGATAACTTGCTTCATGATGTACAGTTTGTTTAACAAAATAAGCAAATTATCTGGGAAAGTACCAGTTCCCAGGGATGAATATTTGCAATGTCCTTGTCAGAAGTACAAGGGTATAAGGAAGGCTTTATAATAAAAAAAATAGGTCTTTCACATATGAAAAATAAAATCACATGTGATGGGTTGGAGAGAGGGTATAGAAATAAGGTGCTTGCCTTGCATGTGGCTGATCCCAGTCTGATCCCTGGCACTATATAGTCCCCTGAGCACTGAATAGACCCTGAGCACTGCACAATGTGGCCCAGAAAGAAAACGAAACAAAAATGTATGAGAAGCTCATACCAAATACGGAACAGATTTATTTTAGTTCTGAATGCAGGGGTTAAGAACAGCAGGGGAGGCTTGAGCGAGTAGGGCGTTTGCCTTGCACGCAGCTGAACTGGGTTTAATTCCCAGCATCCCATATGGTCCCCAGAGCACCGCCAGGAGTAATTGCTGAGTGCAGAGCCAGGAGTAACCCCTGTGCATTGCCAGGTGTGACGCCAAAAAAAAAAAAAAACCTGCATGGGAATAGTTCTCATGTTCTCATATCAGATATACAAATGGTTCCTAAGGGAAGTAACAACAGTCACATGATTCAGAGAAACACGCAGAACCCAAGAATTTGGAGGGGGACACATGGGAGGTGCTTTTTATTCTTGAAGAGTCAAGAGTGGAAGTGGGAGATGGGAAGGTGTTAGAACCATTAGAACCATCTGTCCTCCCCTGCACCCTTTTATCAAAGCATATTTGACCAAGATTTTCATAGGAGAGTGTGATATCTTTAAGAGGGAACAGGATATGTGTATATATATATTTTTTTTTTTTTTTGAAGATGCTTGTGATGCTAATGTGGGCTGGAGCAATAGCACAGCGGGTAGAGTGTTTGCCTTGCACATGGCCGACCAGGCCGACCCGAGTTCGATTCCTCCACCCCTCTCCGAGAGCCCTGCAAGCTACCGAGAGTATCTCGCCCACACAGCAAAGCTACCCATTACGTATTTGATACGCCAAACACAGTAACAAGTCTCACAATGGAGACGTTACTGAGCCCGCTCGAGCAAATTGATAAACAATGGGAGGATGGTGCTACAGTGCTATGGTGCTAATATTTACCACTTCACACCCATGAATGAGGGTCACACTTTTATGTCTTAAGCAAAGTTACTGACAGCACAATGCTTGCAAAGAATCTCACCTATAGACACGCGCTTTGATACTGCTATAGGGTGGCCTGTGTCCCCTTCAGAGCCGGGGTCGTGCGGGCCGGCTGCCCTGCGCTGTCCCCGGTGGACGACGGACCACGCTTGCCCTAGGCTCGGCCAGGGCAGTGCAGGGAGGCCCTGACTCTGCCGGTGCTTCTCTGAAGGGCTTGGCGAGACAGAAGGGTCGTGCACACGACGGAATGAGAAGACCACTTTTCTCTGGCCGTTTCCTGCCCTTGCCTCCTGTTTGACCAACCACTTGAGACTCACGTGGCTCCTAGCTGTGCCACGTCCGAGTCAGCAAGACAACCCGTCCCTTCGGACAGATGCCTGAGGTCGGATCTCCCAGCTATTTGGGGGCATTTGGGGGAATTCCTCTGCCCCAGCACTGGCCATTTTTCTGTTCTGTGATCAATGTGGTTCATGGGACCGTCTTACTCCTTTTTTTCTTTTTGGCTCACATCCAGAGATGCTCAGGGGTTCCTCCTGGCTCTGCACTCAGGAATTACTCCTGGCGGTGCTCGGGGGACCATATGGGATGCTGGGAATCGAACACAGTTCTGCTGTGTGCAAGGCAAACACCCTACCTGCTGTGCTATCACTCCAGCCCCTCACAGGACCTTCTTAAGTAATGAAAGGAACCAGGAGTGTGGAAAATAAGACTTTTATATTGGTCTTGGATTGGCTATGAGCTCCAGCATATTCAATGGAGGGAGTTTCATTTTGGAAAAAAAAAAAAAAAGGCCTCCTGCGACTTGCCAGGAAAGGTGGCCATGTGTATCTTAAAGAGTGGCTGTGGTGGGCTGGACTGCAGTCAGTGGGAGCAGGCGAGGTGGCCAATTTCGCCACCTATGTCTTTGCTCCAGCCACCCTCGTGACGCCCTTAGGAGCACTCGGCGTCCTGGTAAGTGCCGTTCTTTCTTCATGCTTCCTGAGTGAAAGACAATCTTCATGGGGAAACTGGATGTCCGCTAAGTATCCTAGGGCCCACTGTTATGGTCATTCACGCTCTGAAGGAAGAAGAGATTGAGACCCCAGATGAAATGACTCACAATACTTATTGTATTGTATGTAGTTTCTGCCACACTTGTGGTCATTGTATCTTTGATCCAATCTCTGTGGTGGGGCCTCGCCTTGGCCAGAGCAACGTTCTTAGGTATGTCACCATCTGCTCTGTGATCGGAGCTGTCCCGGTCCCCTGTGTGAAGGGCCTGGGCATCACCATCCAAGAACTGCTTGCCGGGAAGCCTGTACTGTGCCACCCGCTCACCTGGGTCCTGCAACTGAGTCTCATCGCCTGTGTCAGCACACAGATCAACTACCTGAGCAGGGCCCTGGATATCTCCAACACATCCATCGTGATGCCCATCTACTACGTCTTCTTCACCACCTCTGTCCTGACTCTCTCGGCCGTTCTTTTTAAGATGGGGAGGAGACAGGTCGCCAGGCAGCTGAGTGGCCCATCATCCTCAAATGTGCTCCAGAGAGAAACTTTTTTAAGGTTTCACTAATTAGACCAAGAAACTCCTTTCCTTTACGTGATGGTAACACTGTAGCACTGTCCTCCCACTGTTCATAGATTTGCTGGAGCGGGCCCAGTCATGTCTCCATTGTGAGACTTGTTGTTACTGTGTTTGGCATATCGAATATGTCACAGGTAGCTTGCCAGGCTTTGCCATGCAGGTGGGACACTCTCAGTAGCTTGCCGGGCTCTCTGAGAGGGGCGGAGGAACTGAACTCGGGTCAGCCGAGTCGGCCATGTGCAAGGCAAACGCCCTACCACTGTGCTACTGAAATGACCTCAGCACATGGCCAGTTTCTGTTAACATTGTCTTATGGTAGAGGTTTTTTGATTTCCCGTCATCAAAACAATGCATTAATGACAGTTCTCAGTC